CCCCAAAACCCCAAAACCCCAAAACCCCTCTAGATTGCAAAGCACCTGAATATTTAAAGAAAATATGCAAAAGTAATTTTGCTAGAATTTTAGTAGAAATCTTTTATATCTTGAATCTCCTTCCATTTCTTGAGATAGGAATCAAGCCTAGTGTATTTACTAGGATGGGATCTTATTATATCCTCTGATAATTTGACAACACTAGATACTACAAGGAAAAGATCCTTAGCGTTGCTATCTCTTTCATTATCATATTCTTCAACTCCTGCGTTCCATGAGCATGCTATTTTGAATTTTTACACATAAACGAAAGTATTTTACTGAAGGTTTATTGATAGTAAAAACGGGATTCCTTGTTAAATTCAATTTTTATTATTCTTACACATTATTCCAATCAAAACATATTATGAAAATCAATCTCTTTTAAAGAAAGTACTTACATATTAAGAATAGAAGAGCGTCCTCAACAACTTGTCAAATTTGATCGTCATGCGCACTAAAGTCTTATTCCGAACTTACTTTCTTTCAAGAAGGTCGATCAGTGTCTTCATATAAGTCACTGAAGAGTCTAGACAAGCAGAGTTAGAACAAAGTGTCTTGGCTTACTCAGACTGAAGTCGCTCAGAGTCAGCTCGATTAGTTTTTGGTAACACTACAAGGATTATTAGAAGTAAGTACTTTGATAGAGTTCTTGGCTGCTGATGGAGGTAATTTCTCTACTGCTTCTCCATCTCTAGCTTCCTTGAGTACTGCTCATAATCTCTCGAGTGTCTGCATACATCCATCCTTCTGTCCATGAGACTCAAGTATGGTGTACACTGAAATAAATACTTCTGGGGTTGGCTTCACAATTTTTGAATTGAAGAAATCAGTCAGCATTTGATGAATTTGTTCGGAAGTTAGCACGTCTGAATTTTTGAAGCTTGAAGCCTGAAGCACATAAGAAGAGGAGTCCAGTAGAAGAAGGAATGCAGAAGTGTACAAATCTTTTCATTCATTGATCAAATCTTTGTACCACTTCTGGATCTTTATCTCCAAAGCGAATGAGATGTTGTTTAGTTGGTCTTGGGATAGGATGCTTTTGTCTAGAAGTTTAAGTAGAGAAGTGGCTTTTTGAACTACTCCATTGTTTATTTCAATTATGAGGCTGTCAGTGAGATTTTGGCTATCTGATTTTTCAGTAAGGAGTTGGAATTTTAGGGATATTGAACTGAGCAAAGATCAAGCAGCATTATAAAAATATAAAAATCTTTTCTTCATGAATTCAAAATCTTTCTCTTTCCCATCAATTGCTGGATATCCTTCTTGTGATTCTTTAGATAGATCCATCAGCTTTACTGAAAGAAGTGATCAATTTGAAGCTGTGCTCAGGTACTTAATACTCTGCTTAGGATTAGTCTGTATCAAGGAGTATCCTTCGTTCCATCAATATCCTAGAAGCCAGATAGCTTCTTCGCATAGTGCAAAAGTTCTAAGCATTTTGTCTTGCTCTGACTTTTTAGTAGAATTCAGAATTCTTTCAATGAAATTATTGATAACTGGCAAAATATTGGAGAAATACTTAGAACTTGAAGAATTTCTGAGTTCATTCCTTTCAGAGCAGTAGTGATAGAGATTGATAAATATAGATAGAAAAGTCAGAGTGCTTTTTGAATTCTTTGCTTTGTTCTCTACAAGTGTCTTCTTTAGATTTTTATCTAATACTTCTTGCAATTTTGATAGATTAGTATCTTGCAACATCAAGTAGTTGAGCATAAATTCTGAAATTGCTTCTTTCCCTTTGATATCTGTCAAGTCTTGGCCTTCATAAAGAAGAATGACAATGTATCCAATATGAAAATCTTCAAGCTCTACCATTCTGTTAAGAAGGACAAGTATCTTTTGCTGCATATCTGGCTGGCATTTCAAGAGCTCATATTTTATCTTAAGAAAGAAGCAATTACTATTGTTCGGATATAAGCTAAAAAGCTTTTCAATAATTGGCTCTGCCTTCTCAATATCGTGAAGTTTGAAGGAGGATTCAATGTAGAGTTGGAGGAGGTTCACATAAATCTTTGAGTTGAGCTCTTTCAGACTACTTTCATTAACCATTTCAGATTCAATGTTTGATAGTTGGAAGCCACTTTCTTCACTAAGTCTTCTAGGAATATGCTCTTTGAAATCCTGGTTCATGTCATTCATTTTAGTTATGATCTGGAGAGAGCAAGTCTGACATAAAAGGTATCTGTTGTTTTGATAAGATATTTTTCAGACATCCCAACATCACTTAAGACAATCAAGAGTGAGACAGCTGAGTGTAATTATATCTTCAAATGAATTTTGTAAGGAGATTGAGTTTAGACTAGATTTCAGTAGCTCATCAGTGTCTCTATTCTTGTCAGGATTTTCTTCTTCTTGATGATTTTCAATCTCAGATTCTTTACTTTCTTTGAGCTCCATCTTTAAGAGGCCTGAAAGATTTTCCAAGAAGAGGATGATTCATTTCTCTCTGCTTTTCTCTACAGAAAGAATCTTTTCGATATTCTGAAGTTTAAAGATGCTTCTTCCAAGCAAGACTCCTACTGAGCATTTATTTGTATTTAATGGTAATAGAAAGTAAGATTGCAATAATCTCTGCGTCTAGCATAGGGTGATCGATAAGGGTGCTGATGTTCAAAACATCTTCATTATTTATTCAGCATCAGGTAATACTTAAACAAGGATATAGAGCAGTTGAGCTGCTCTATACTTTCATCGCTAACTGTTTGGAATCAAAACTCTATAGACATTCGTGCCTTTTCAAAGTTCTTAATGCTTAGGTATAACTCAGAAAGAAACAAGACTCCTTTCACTGAGATTTTCTGAATCTTCTTCAGCATTGAAGTGAGTTCGGGGTCTTGGTCTGCTTCTCAAGTTGATTTTATGTAATTGAAGAAATGCTTGATCAGCTCTCAGTGAAAAATAGAATCCTTAGAGCATTCCAAAGCCAAGCTTTCTGAATGAGGAATTGAATTCTCGGAAGAGGACTGATAAATTTCAAATGCTACTAGATAGAGAGATGATAGGATAAGCTTTAGTCATGATTTCGAGCAAAGCAAAGTTCAGAATTGAGAAGTCTGGACTAAAAAGCTACTGATCTTTTGGAGTCTATTTTTCCTGATTCGCCTTGAAAGCCTGAGTGTGATGTCTTCAGAGAAGTTTAAAGCTAGTTCAGAGATAGTAGATAAGATTCTTCAGCTCTGCTGGTTCAAGTATGTTCTCTGCTTGAAAGATACCGAAAGAGAATAAATCTGAGATTTGCAAAGCCTCTTCTTTGTATTCTTCAATGTCACCAAATCTTTGATGAAAGAAAGAATTATTCTGGCTTTGTGAATTTGAGTTTAAATTATCAGCGTTTGATTCAGAAGAAGAGACCTTAGATTTGATTAACTTAGATAAGGGAGTTCCTTCCAAAACATCCTGAATCAATTTTAGTGTAGCTTCAATCGACTTATTTGTTTCTTCAAATAAGATATTTTGGTCTTCAAGATAAATTTTAATTAAATCTTCGCACAGCAAGAAATAGATAGCCAAGTGAGTACTTTTGACAGCATATTTCTTCTCTTGTAAGTGACTAAAATCTTCATTCTCATCAAATCCATTTGAATTTGGATAACCTTTTAGCTTATGACCTAGTTCCTTCCTGATTAAGAACTCTCCATATTGTCAGAGAGTATGTTTGACTAGATGTTAAAAAGATACTACATACATTTGAGTTTAAATGATTTCAAGTTCGGATTCTCTATTTGCTGATAATTCATATCAATTTCATATAGCTTTTCAAAACTGGTTTCACCTAGGAATTAGCAATTCAATTTACCTGAAGATCTTGAGGGATTCGACATGATCAGCTTTAGTTCTACTTCGATATCAGGTATCACTCTTGGGTTTCTTAGAGCTTCTGCTACTAAATTTTGCAACATTTAAAATATTAATTATGACAACCCAGGGAATAAATTTTGGGGTTTTGGGGTTTTGGGGTTTTGGGGTTTTGGGG